TCTCATATAAGAAGGATCACTTCGTTGCTTGAACGAGATCAGACAGTGTTCCGGAATAGTTGACGAGTTGGACTTTATTATTATTTTCACAGAAGTATTCCGAGTAGCAGAAATAGCGGAAGAGCAGTTTTGCATGATCTCCACAGCCAAACGGAACGTCTGTGATTAGGGCGTCGAGATTTTGTTCCTCCTTGATGAGCACAAGGTCTGACACAGACAGACCGTCACCGCTTCTAATTCAAGTGGGGAACGGTGACATGTTGTACAGCGGTATATCGGCCAGTAGTTCTTGCATGTCAATTTTGCACCGTTCCCTATTAGCGCATCGAATTTGAAAGCGTGCATGATGAAGTCCCTAGCAAAGACATTGCTGTGTGTCCGAACAAAGAATTCGCCACATAGCAGACCCCACACTATGATCCATTTCCAGATGGGATAACGGAGGGCGGCAGGCTATCGCTATAGTTTCCGTTACAGGCGGCCCCAAAGAGTATCGGCAATTTGCGTACCTGATCCTTGACCATATCGATGTGTAGTTCCGATCAGCAATACAACAGTGTTTCGCCCACTCTGCTTGATTGATTTTTTCGTAGGAGAAGTCAGTTACTTAGGGCTATCATATCAGCAGTGATCTCGATATTTATCCGTCTTATTTATTAAGAAAAGGTTCCAAGGAATGGATATCTGACGAGTACGAATATCAGTTAACTTACTCATGAAACTATGCGTTAGTATATAAGCATATCAGGGCTTCAGAAGCAACCAGTGTATTGGTGATTGTGCTTATTGGTGGGGGGTTATGCATACCATCGTGGATTTGACAGTCGGTTGTTTTCATTGGATCGTAAGCGCAGCTGTCGGGGTAATTCCAGGTTGGCAGTAACTGGCTGCAAACAACCTTCCGCGGACGGGGTGTTTTTGATGAATACTGGTCCTGAAAGGCATGCTTACAGAGTTGCACACTAGGGCTACATGTTCTGTGTTATCTCGGCGATTTGTGTCTGGGTGTCTATGGACTTTAAAGGTATTCCGGACTTTGTCTCATACGCATATTGAGTCAAATTTACACCACCTGTCCCGTAATAGGTTTGGTTTGCAGAGTTAAATTTTTGATAAACGCTGCTTCTTTACATCTGTCCTCTGCCACTCAGCCGCGTCAGAGAAAGAACTCATACAGGCTCTGCACACAATCCTTATATTTACAAGTAGCAGGGAATTTCAACCAACGGTGTTTTAAAAGCTCACTGTCCTACTTGATCGATCGCTTGATAGATCGCACTGAGGCAGACGCCTCCCAAATCTAGTTCTGCTTACGCATCCATTAAAATGTACACTCGTGGACCGCCGTTTCTGTAGTTTGGCGATGATGGCAGCTTTGCGATCGAATTGGCGATCACATTTTCTTATGCGAGTACTTCAAGGGTGAAATGATATTTCTCTATATCATGTGCTCGAGCTTGCTTGGAGTCCGAAGCTCGTGGACACCACGGACGTACATCGATTTTACGTCCGTTATTTTTGGTGGTCTTTCGAGTTTAGCTTGCTTTGCCGTCCGCTCGATAAACATCTGGAAAATTGCGAACGGTGCATGGGATAGTTCGGAGGCGTGGCTGACAAGAAAACAGACTTTCATCCCGTGACCGAAGCCGTACTTGTGGTAATCGTGGTTCACCAACGGGTGCCTAGCTTAGATGACGCAAGAGGAGTTTCATTTGGTTTGCTTTGCTTGGATCCTAATTAACTGACCGATGGCTTACTGTTGTTGCTGGTCGTTTAACAGCTCGTCTTTAATGGAGTTCGCCTCGGATGCAGGCACTTTGGATTATATAACTGTAAGGGACTTGTAATGCTATCTATTGTTCTCCATTATAGAGGAGTGTGTCTTTGCTTTCTTTGGTCGCACAACGAATGGCGTACTTGGTCACCTTTAGATATTCGTGGCCCTAACTAAGCTTAGTTTGGCATCGATCAAATGATGGCGAACCGTACAACATTGAATGCGTACTTTGTTGGTCTGTCAGCAGTGTTGAATAGACCGCGAGGATGTAATGAAGTATGATGTCCATGAGGATCATTAAAATCGTCCTTTCGTATCGAAGAAACAGTCAGCGTGGTTCGGGTGCTTAACTATTAAGCGTTGCTCTTATGCCCAGTTTGGCTGTTCTGTTTCGCATTGGTGTTTGACGTTGTACATTTAACTCGAGGCCTTGATTTTTATGGGTCCGGTGGAACAGAGCTTACAGCAATAACTCATTCTGCAACTCCTCTAGTATATCGCACCTCTGCACCAACATGGCCATATATCTGTTTTGTGGAATAGCAGTACTCTCGGGATAAAACCAAAAAATGGCGGTGTCATTTCATTACTTCACCTCAGTGAACCATTCGAATGAAATATTTTCAACGACATTTATAACTTTTTATTATGCTTCGTACATTGTAAAACTGGTTCTACATTTAATGGTCAATTGCTTTGCCTTAAGCTTAGCTTTTCATGGGCAGGCGGTGCGTGTCATGGTGCTCTCCAGTTTAGTTACGTTACTGAAAGTGTCATTTGCCACAAGGTCTATCCGAGCATATTAATCCCCAACGTTCTCAGTCGCGGTCGTAACGATGCTGATACATGATTGATAAACCTTCTTTGGGATAGGCGGAGACGCGACCAGAAAGCAGGGTACACTAACACATCAAAACACGTACACAAAGTGAAGTGACAGACTGTCGGCGGATCTGATGAACAATGGGACGCTTCAAGGCTACCAAGACTGTGATATTGATAAATGGCTAATTTGCTGATTTTGTTTGGTCTTCTAACGCATAACTAAAACTCAGCACTAATGTCCAGTAGGGTTCAAGCAAATACAGCTACTCAAAAAAGTTGTATGCAATGGATGCATTCAAGTAGCGGATAATGGCTACTTGAATGCATTCATTGCATACCAAGAAAATGGCTTTTCTGAGTCTAACCGACAAAAGCTGATCATGAACCTAGTGTTTGCTTTTATCAAACATGCCCTGCCGTTAGCAGTCACAATTTATAGTCGTTTGACACAAAACTGCATGCAGTTTAATTAACGACGTCTTGGTAACAGTAATTGTTGATCGATATTTTTAGTGGCCACAAGTAAAAAAATTTAAAACTGTCATGTCGAAGTTGTAAAAACACAGCAACGTAGTACGGTGACGTTTTCAGTGGTTTTGTTTTTATTATCTTTGGCTAATCACCGCTTTTGGCACATTTAGGACGAAACACGGCTATCGGGTTGCAATAGCGCGAACGTGTTTATACATATCACCTCTGGTTGACTCACTTGGACCTAAGAGGTGAAGCGTACCACAAAAACGTCTAGCCACTTTTGGTTACATTGCACCAAGCCTCCAGCTGGAAAAGGTTTATAACCATTTAAGTATGTAGGGTGCGGTAGTTAAATGCGATAGATTTAACTGTTAACTTTGACACCTGTACCATTGCACATATTGGGAAGATGGCTTGTTAACGCTTCACCAGTTGTCCCCATTAGAGCTATCAGCTAATCCAATTCTGTTAAATCTAGACACAGTATTCTACATTGTTCAGAGGTCATCTTTATTCACCTGCGTCATATCCATTTCCGCGAGTAGTCTACAGATACAGAAAGCCAGCAGACACATCTACCCGAACATATATATTCACTTTCCACATGCTCAAAATATGTACATATGTAGACAACGATCAAAATAGTAGCGCGCGGACTAAATTTGAACCCTTGCTATAACAGTGTTTTCCGCTTGCCTTTCAGAGCCTTGCGCGTATGCTGTGATTAAAGAGCAGCAAGAAAGAGAAGACTGTTAAGCTTTCGTTAGCTTTTCTTTATGCTTATGCTTGTTCCCCGTTACAGTGGCTACGTGTTGCGTAACACAATTTACGGTTCCGCTCTTGGACTATTTCTAGTGTGTATGCTACACATATCTGAGTCAGGTTAAGATCTACCAACCAAGGAAGTCTTAGCTACATTCCATTTTGCGTGGAATAATCGGCAGCTAAACATAACTTGGTTTCTGCAGTTTGGTTAAATAAATCAGGAAATGTCACACACGATACCATAAGCAAGTTTTAGGATTTCAAGAACTTCGAATGGACCAAAATGATTCACAATATCTATTTTGCAGATTAAGATAAAAGACGAAATGACGCTGAGTAAGCTCTGACGTTTTCAGCAGGATGCTTTCCATGAATCAAGCAGATGAAGAATCAGTAAAAATGTGTGCAAGTCTGTGGTGTAAAAACGTGTAATTCATTTTTTACATGTAATCTGCAATCAAGTTATTCCATCAATTTTTCTCTATTGCTGACGCTCACATTTTTTAGCTTTAATGAACGTCCTCTCTAATTTTTATAAGAAGGCCGCCAAATCCAAACATTTACTGTAGGTACACAGCAAATAGACATGTTAAACGATGGTGGCCAAATGGTGACAATTCATCATCAGAACCGTTCGGTAATCAGAAACTTCAACTCTTACTATTTACCATTAACTTGCACTATATGGCTCGCACAGATCAACTTTGGTTGTCGTAGTGTACATATACTCAACTACATCGTAGTTATTAATTTTATCAACTAAAATAAAATCATGTTTAATTGCTAGTTAAGCGGTTTTATGCTCTTGTATAAAGAGGTGCGCATTACTCAACCAAAATTCATTTTAAAGTTTTGCTCACCAAATTCCTGAAACGCTATTGTTTAGGAAACCTGATGACCCACGTTTGCATTTTGGTGTACGGTCTATAAAAACACAGGGTATAGGCAACCTAATAGACTTGTACAGAGAAATTCAGGATTGGTGACTCCAAATCTATGTATACTCGATCAAGAAAACCTCTTTCAGACGCGGGACTGCAGTATTCTGTGAATGTGCAAATGTTGCAGGTTAACACTCATGGGATATTATCCAGAAATATTGCCCACACAAGCATAGTATACGTTGCATTTAGCCGTGAAATTATAGTACTGAACAAACCTTCCTAATCAGTCTGCTTGGAGTGGTGCTCAGATGAGAGCAACTTGCACGAAACGTTGAACACGCCACTGCATCCGATGCTGGAACGGGCCGTTTCGAAAGTACCAATTTAACCTCATGATTTGGGGAGCCTAAATAATAAAAGCAGAAAGATACCTTTAAAAATTCGGTGGGTTAGTGGTTCTTAACTTTCTGCAACGTATTTGATTGTCACTATTCAATTCTAATTTTATAAGTAACCATGCTAACTGGTGTGCTTGCGCTACACTCAACTTATCTACTGTTAGGACTCGTATATATCAAAAAATACTAGGTCTCACTTATAGTGGATTACTGACAAAACTTTCCCTCTGATTTATTAAGTTGCTGTGCAAATCAAATATGTAGACTGATAGTGGGCGAGGCTGTTGACGTATTCTTATGTCTCCCCTACCCGTTAGGTTAGCGCTACCGTTATGTTTCCTGCAGATACCGGAATGTGGTAACCTAACATCAATGACAGAGTGAAAAACCCCAAATTATCAAAGGTTTGAAGTTTCTTCTAAAGAGAAAAGTGGGAAACCTGAATTCAGTATCTATCTGTTTGCTTCTTTCGGCAGCTGGTTGAATTCGCAGTGCAAGTAGTCACGCCGTGCTGCACACGCTTTACTTGCAGGCCCCATTCTAGTTCCCCTCACACCCTCTTCTGCGCACAGTTTCCGAACCATTGCAATGAGTGCTGCTCAGTTTTTCATACCTTCTGGATCTAAATTTTGTAGATAGTTTTGTTACTTCCATTCACAGTCTTGGTGCGTTCTCTGCCGAGACCTACGCGTATAATTACATCACTTACAAACTGCTCTAGAAAAGTTAACTAACAATAAGAAGCAGTTAAGGACTTTCAGATGACACGGCAACCCTGCCTGCATGATGCAGCATAACAAACTTATGAGATATGTTGCTTCGCTCATCCACTAAACCTCGTTTCCAAGACAATTAGATCCGCTTGTCAGCGCCCCGCTTGCCTCGTCGTGTGACCTCAGTTGATCAGGACACACCGCGTCTTCGTGAAGGTGTTTACACACAACCGATGGAGTGCTGAATCAAGCAATCTATGCAAGACTGAGAGAGAGACGCAGTGACACAGCCAGTTGTCACAGTAAACTGACCTTGGCTTCGGCATTAACAATCTAGTGTCCATGGGTGGGCTAACGTTTAACACACCCACGGAATCTGATGGACGCGAGTGGCTGACCCGCATTCTCTAAAGGAGCAGGTGGAACATGTAATAATATGCTCAAAAGAGATCTTTAATGCTCAAACTGCTCCCACTATTTTCATGCCAAACGCGGGAATAGCAAGTCAAGCAAGTTTAAGCTGCTTAGTAGCAGCGCAGCCTTATTTCGGTTCTGCTTGAAGTTGGATACCGTTCCATTAGTCAAGACCGTAATTGCACTGTACCAAAACTATCATAGGTTAGAAGAAGTGGTTGGGCACATTTTGGGCACCAGAATTAGCTCCGGTACAGAAACCAACAGAATGGCTGACACAGACCTCTCCACTAAAATCCACTGCAAGGTAATTCAAGTGCGCCGGATTTTACGTTGAAAAGGTGCCTCCTACAAAAACCGCCACTATTCCAAAGCACTTAAGCATTTTAGAAACTCCAATAGATTTTGATACAATTTCCCCCAAACTTATTTCTTCCAACTAGACGAAGCAGAAACTCAGGAAAAAAGCCGACAAAAGTGACAGCTGTGCCTTAGTTGCATACAAGAGCAATCAGAAAACAAGCGCTGCTGTTTACACTACCTCAGCCGAAACTAAGGTGTGAAGCAAAGCTGCACTGGTGCGTTGCAAATCGCCCGGTCTCCAAGCCACTATCCGTACTTCCATAAAACATAATAAAAAAAACGGGATGCTCTATCGATTAGATGTCCCAACCTTCTATATTAAACATCGAATTAGTTGAGAAGGATATGGATGACTCAAGACAAGGGAACAGCATGTGCAGTTTGCTGTGTAAACTGTCTAAGGCCACATAACAAAAGGGATATCAGACGCCACAATATTTCTAAACGTCAACGTGAAGTCAGGATTCCGCCGGATGTGCTAAACTCTGTTGATAAGGTGGAAGCGGTGTTAGATTTGTAAGTTCATCATTAGAATGGATCTTGTTTCTTCTGTGTTTTCCCTGCGCAATCGAGCGAGCATGAACTTAGTGACGTTTCGCCTAGACAGTGTAGCCAGAACCGCTTTGGTGTATGGCGTCATTCAGTCTTATTAGCAAGATGAATGTAAAGCAGTGTCACACGATCAGAAGTGGTAGTGTTATATTCCTGAGACACTGCTGTTGGATGATGTTGCAGCTATTTCATCTTAAGGTGGACATGATCAGCATGCTAGAAAGGGTGCGGCAAAGGATAATGCAGTTTGTGCTTCCAAATATACAAATGGAAGTTAAGCTACTAGAAGGCTGGTCGTCACTTATGAACAGACTGCTAACTGAAATCCGGTTGAAAGATGCCACCAATACTGTCACCAGATTTAAAATCCTACCGCCACAGGCAAATGAAGTGGGGACGCCATTTGGACTACACACGGGTAAAAACTCTGAACGAAGTGAGAAAATTTCTATGTAATCCTGTAAGAACGCTCTGTGCATTCTGCAAACTTGTTTGCCAGAGGGTCTACAGACGATGCCTCTGAAACAAACTGCAAGCAACTAACGGGTATTCACAACGAAAACGGCTAGCGACTGACCATACAACCATTGGCATAATCTCTCATCCGAACCACGTATCTTTGGGATCGCTCCTAGAAACCGAAACATTATCTTGCATGTGCCACAATGCCAAAATCCTCCTTATCGTAATTGCCAAGCATCGGTTGTGTCAAAAACCAAACGCCTGGGATTTCAACCCCATACCCGAAACCCAGTTGCACTCAGTGAACAACGATGCAGAGATTGTGATTCATGGAATGTCACTGTTCCGACACAATCGTCCCAGAAGTTGAGACAATGTTATCAAATACAGTTGCTACGACGCACAATGCAAATCAGTGTATGATCCGGAGAGGCGGACCATTTGCGTCTCATGTACGATGACAACTACTTCATGGCAGACCTTTTATTGCTTTCCATCGTTCACCGAAGCGCTAAATTTCCACCTAAAATTGTCACTGACATCAAGCTTACTCCAAACTTACAGACACACACTTATCTCCAAGGATTTCAACGTGCACAACCTGGAATCTTCGGCAACCCAAGGCGAAATAGTCAATGCTGAACTGCAAGATTTATTGCAAGCATTCCACTGTAAATTCACACAAACCCACCAACAAGGTACGGAGCTGTTAACCGTTCATCGGTATAAGACCCCGTATTTACAGATTCGGAACTCTAGTTCAACAGGTCATTTGCAGACGCTCAACTAGGACTAAGGGATCATATCACCGTAATTAAACGATGTGGACTACGCTGAAACGACGAAGGAGTGCAACGAATCTACAAGTATTTTCACATGCTTACCATCCTGAATGATCTGGCTGCGATGAGAGCGTAGATTCATTTTTGATGCTCCAGCAAGCAGATATTTACGATTTCAGAAACGAAAAAGGGTTTGTTCCACCAATCCATCATTGTTAATCAGAGGTAGAACTCGAAACGTAGGTCAACAAGGAATGCAGTTTGTCGTGATTGCATCTCTCGTCCTGTTCCCGAAACCCGGATCTACGAAATGGCTCAGAGGTTGTTCGCGAGGACCAGTTAGCCATGAAAACATTTAGCAAGAAAATCTGTGAAGAACTAAATGGTATTGTATAAACAGAGTAACGTCGCGTTAAAAGTGAAGCAGGTTATCCCTTCACACAACATTACCTTTGGAGTTGCACATAGTGTGGAAACAGCAAGCAATCTTGTACGGATTCAGGCTGTTTGATTTCTCAAAGAGACATCTGCCACTGGTACATACCCACATACTTAACCCTAATTTTAGAAATTACTAGCTGCGCTTTCTCCGCCATCTCTGTGTTAAAGAAACTGCTCTCATTGCGCACCTACTGTTCGCCAGAAACTGAGAACATTCACCAGAGCGCTTTAAAAATAGCAACCGCAAAGCTGGCAGAGCAACTAAAGCGTTGCTTTAAATCGTGCCTGGATAGACGAATGGTGGGTACTTATAAAAACATGGACAATTCATGCCGAGTTTAAAATCGTTAGTCACTTAGAAGCGGAAAACTATCAACCAGTTTTATCATCTCTGTACTCTGGAAAGTTACGGCGGGTATCATCGCTGAGGCTTTAGTAGACTATCCAGGATGCTGACTCCTGTTCACACGACAAGCACCCTTTTCTAAGTGTTTTCGCACTTTCTGCGCAAATTTCATCGCATGTCACGGGTTTTACACTTTTTCCTCTTGGTTTGACAAGCTGCATCTAATGCAACCATTTTCTCTGGAATAATTAAACTACTGACTGATTCTACCGAAATTAAAGACTTGAAAAATTTTCTGCTCAGTTACAATCATCCACTATGTATATCTGCCTCTTCCTATTGAGAAGTCGCCTAGCTTTCAATAAGCTACTGATCATCTCCTTTCTTTATTTGTGCCGTAGCTACAGAGTAAACTACTTTCCCATTATAATACCCTTCCATGCAAGCCATCGTCAACTTTCGCCTCCCCTGATTTCATCCTTTGCGATCAACTACCCTATCCAATACGATAGCTGTCTGTATCAGACCCGCTAGTTGTGATCAAAGGACGCACAGACGCAACACACAAAGCGAGATGATGCAGCCATCCGATTTTGACTAGACAATGAACGAAACAACGCGAAACGACGGAGTGTCGATGCCAATCTGCAAAACATGCAATAGCAATGCGGCCAAAATGGTCACAACACTGGTAACCCGAATCAAAGTATTTTGTGATATTCAAAGATTGCTAATGTAGTAAAAGCAGGGTTGACATGTTCTCATTGCACTTGCTGCTGGCATACCACATGCATCAGGATCTGTTAACCGAAGTAAAAATATAGCAGCCCGCCGGCCTTATTGCGGTTCCGTCAAAGGTATAAGATGGTTCCAGTTGTAAACTATGTATTAGCATTAGCACAATAGAACAACAGCAAAGTTGCATAAACTGAACA